CCCACAGGCATTCCAAAGCCATATTTCCTCCATTGATTCGATCTTGCCGGGAATGATCTTGTCCAATTCACGGTGCCTCGTGAGCAACATGTGTTCCTTTATGGCTTCATAGTCTTTGAAGATTCTTGCCGTCCGATAGATTGACGGAACAAGTTTGCATTTTTTTGTGCGAGGGGCGAGCCTCTCGGTTTCATGGATGCGGAGTCGCAATGAGTCGCCAGCAACGTGTATTAATATGAATCTATTTATCTATCTCCCCCGCAATGCTTCATACAACCCTCAAAGCCACCCCAAGAGACGGCACATATTCCCATGGATTGTTTGGCACACTGGGTATATATATATACCCTGATATCTATAACTAAGGGTCCACCCGAGGATGAGGAGCACGTCGGAACACATGCGAGTCGAGCAAGGGAGATGTTCGATCTCTTCCACCGTCTCCCATTCGTGGCATGTCATGCCCGCTATTTCTGGTGCTGAAGCTAGGTAGAGACTGCAGGTGAGAGATATGCAGCTCAGTGCTTCTATGTGCTGGCCATGAATCTTGGCAGAAGTGACAGAACCCAGGAATGATCAAGTAGGAGAGAGAGAGAGAGGGGAGCAAGTTATATAATTATGCTTGTAAAGGGGGCAGAGTTGCTTCCTTTAAATATTGGTAGTGGTTTGTGGCGTTTGCCTTTCAGCAACACAAGCACTGTGGCAAAACTGCCTACCAATTGTGGTGTCAATGAACACAATATCATCGATTCCGGCCACATATCACCTCTCCAAACATGAGTTCCAGGCCCCACGGCCCCACGAATAGACCGAAACAGACAGCTACATGGGGGGCCTCTTCCAGGCACTGCTTTGTCGACGGATGCAGTACCGACTCGTTGGACTCGGAAAGGGCCGAACTGGAAGGCTGCACCGTTCCATTCCGTTCGTTGGACTCGTTGGGCCGAGGAGTGTCACGTGTGTTTTCCGATTTGGTGCTGTCCTTAATGTTCCACATTCTTCGGATTCTGTCGTTCCATCTCCATTTTGGAGGACCAAAGTCCCCGTGATTCGGTTTTTGGTTCACGATGTGACCGCTTTCAGACACCTGTTGGACACCGAGGAGTTGGAAGGAACTCTCCAGCGACGCGGTACAAGCACTGGCCGAGATGCCGCGCGATTCTCTGGAGCAAGGCGATGCCACGTGGGTGTCGCGTGGGTTTCGGTGCCAAGACCTACCAAAACACCAGAGGGGACTACAAGAAACCATGAGAAATCAAGACAATTGAAGGAAGTTGGACTGCTTGACGGACGTGCGTACGTCACATTGACCGGGAGTGCTGTTTCGATAAGCGGAGTGCAAGGATATTGAAGCTTTTGAAGTTTGAACCCTCTTTGTTCGGAGCAGGTCTGATTTTGTTGGTGGTGTTTCCCAATAAGATGGGCGAGAGTTCTGCGGATCCGATTAGTCATCCTATCCCGGACAAGTGGAGAACCTTTAGCCTTTTTGGGAGATGGGTTTCCCCACTTCCAAAGAAGGTTCACCACAAAACTGACTCAAGAAAAGAACCTCGGCCCTGGACAATCGAAGGAGCCAAAGACATTCATTTGATGACATGCCACCAGGATTGCAGATTTGTGGCCTCCTCTTCTTCCGCAATGTCGGGGCGCCAAGGGTTGGCCGCTGATGGCCACAGGTTGGTTGAGATACATTGTGCTGAAGACTGATAAATGCTGATAAGGCTCCTATATTTTTTGATCACCCCCTATAACCTTTCTTTGTTGACCACCAAAACTGTTGAATTTGACCACCAAAACCTCCTTTTTGATCCAACCTTTTTGACCCCGGGCCCCTCGGCTCTCCAACCATATGTTTTTTGACAACCCTACTTTTTGACAACCCGCCCTTTCTTTGGATCCCTCTACCCTGTTTTGACGCCCGGCCTGTTTTGTTGTTTTGGTCCTCTACCTTTCTGGGTGACCCCACCCACTTTTTTGAGCCAGCCCCAAAGGCTGCCTGGTGACCCCTCTGAAGGTTTTTAGTCGAGTCATTCCCGTCCAATCCATGAAGGGCAGCCTCAAGGACCTACTTTGAAACACCGCAAGGTTGTTCCTTTTGTTTGCTCCTATAGTAAAGTGCGATGTTCGTTGTTAGCTGCCTTGCTCTAGAGAGTTGTAAATGCGAGGCCACGGATGCATTTCTCTCCACATATATGCAAGACTCAAGACACAGATGATATGTTATGTCAACAAAACAGATCATTGACAGAAGGTGCCGGAAGCAGTTGCGGAAGCACTGGTAGAACACACGTGACATAAAGGGAGCTGCGTAGCGTGTGTCAAAGAGATGCCTGTCGTCATAGGCCGGGCCGATCGACGGGACTTGGGTGTTTCTTTGATAATCTGTTGGCAGGATGTTTGCAGATATGCTTGGGTGGCAGTGGCGTTGTGGGTGGCAGTTTTCCCAATTAATCCGTTTTCCCAATGAATTGCAGAGCTGTGTGGATGACAGGTTGCTGGGGCACCCGTTCGAGAGTGCCCGTTGTGGAAGTTGATGTGAGGCCAACCGGCGGGTGGCACGTGAGACGGTGCATGTACCCAGGGTGGCCTGGCGGACAGAGAAGGAGAGGTAAATGCATGAACACTCTGGGGTAATGTGCGCAAGAAGTTGATGCCATCTCAAGTTGCCCAGACTTGATGCTGCCATGCAGACAGTTTGCATGTGATCGTGCATGAGCGCGCTATCTATCTCAATGCCTTGAACAAGGTTGATCCGTACGCCACAACGCTGGCGGAAGGTGCCAGTCATAAGACCACAAGGTCGAAAACCCGGATCCAGACATGCTGCTTCATTGAGGGCTGGCTTCAATTGAACAGGGCCGAGAGATCCAGCCGAGGATGGCAGCAACCTGCATGCGGCTTGCTGCCCAGATCACATTGCATCCAGTTTCACCGAACCAATGCAGTGGAAATCTACTAGGGGCCAGTGGTCTTGCAATGGCCGGTGGGGGTCCCTCACAATCAGTAGCAAGTTGTGCCAAATGTCGGGTCGGCGCCCCCCAAGGGTCGGCGATATGCTCCAGGATCCTCCCAACTGTTCAGGTTGTTCTTCTGCAGCGTGGTGCCAACTTGACGGTCAGCACGAGTGCTTGTTGGAGTTGGACTTGGAACATTTTGGTTGCATAGGTTATCATAGACTGAATATGTCCTCAACTCAGTTCCTGAAGAGCATCAGCTGTTAGAGAGAATGAACTTCACATGGTTGTTCAACCGTCTCAAGAGATGTAAGCTGTTGCAAAGACACATTGACAAGATCAAGGGCTCCAATTTGGATTCAAGATATCGCACTTTGTTCGTATTGCATTTTTTCCAGAGTGCAGATTGGACCTGAGAATAACTTCATTGGTTCCGGTTTCTCGATCTTTTCTCCAAGTTTTTGAGTTTGTGTGGGTTGATGCTTTCATTTTTGTTTACCCTTTTCGCCTGTTTGGCTACCCTCTTGCACCTTTCCAACCATTGTTTTACAGTGTCCTTCCTTTCTTTACGTTTATTACTTGGAGACCCGACACACATCACACAACTTTAACAACTCAAAGCTTTCCACAAGAACGCAAGAATGAAAACTAGCTTTCCAGGAAGGTCTGCTTCAGGCCTGGGTAGGTTGAAGAGGCTGATACCCTGCGTGCCAGAGATGTTTCGCAGAACAGGGCGCATGTTTCATCCGTTTCGTTGTGCAACAGATCTTTGGCCAAAGGACAAATAAGCAGATGTTTTGGTCGGCAATGCGTACGTGTATTTGAGCCCACATCCATATTATGCCGTTGGTGCAACGATAGGTTTTGGGTCAACATCCAGGCAAACCTAAGGGAAACAACAAAAACAAGGAAGGAAATCTGAGCTAAACTTGAGGGACATCTCAGTACACTTAATACCATCGACGGAACATTTAAAGTGAGAAAGTGTTGGGACAGACACACATTGGATCAACAAGGGGGAAAAGGGTATTGGACAAAAAGGATAGAGGGTCAGAAAAAAGGGCGCGAAAAAAGGGGATGGGTGTAAAGAACAAAGCTGATAACTGGACCGGACCCGACTTCAGGTAGACATGACCGGGATCAAAAACTGAGACTCCACTACCTGGAGGTGAAACCATTTGCCAGTGGTCGAAGTTCAGGTTTTGTACTGCCATATAGACCGAAACAATGTGAGATATGTCACTGCCTGTTAAGGTAAACAACATTTAGAAATCGTGATGTGGGTGGAATGCTGCAATTGTAACATCCATGCAGGTCCATGCATATACAGTAGATTGTTCCATGTGCCGATTCTTCATTTCTGTTTGCGCCCCATTGCGCCCCATAAACTCAGAGATCTCGCCGGAGGGGGCGGATCTCGATCATCAGGTACCGCGCACGACCCGATACCCTTTGTTTCAGATGTCCCAAATACGTGTGATGCTGTTTGACCTTCTTTGGGATCCAGTTCTCCGGAGAAACTAACAAGTTGGCTGGCTGGTGTGTACTAGGGAATGAGAAAATAACAACAATTTGGTTGAATTGACGAGGATAAATGACCCGACGTCGTTAAATGACCAAACGACCCGAAGTTTTTTTGAATGAGAAAAACACAACAATTTGGTGAAAAGAAGTTCAATGACCCGACGTCGTTTTTGGAACGTTCTCCTCGTTCGTGTTTCGGTGTGGAACGAGTCCAATGACCCGATGAAGATCCAGCGGAAGATCCACCCCCTCTCCTCCTTGCCCTGGCTGGTCGAAGCAGTCATTCCTGGGATGGAGGACATTGCATTGTTCAAGCTGTGTTTGTTGGAGATGGTTGGAGTGTCACCCTAAGAGGATCAATTGATGGACGTAGTGCATTTGGCCTGAAACTTGACTGGTGCTTAGTAGGGAATGAGGGGCCCCCACCATAGATACCTCCCTTGCCACCCTCATTCCATCCACTCGTTGCACTAGTCAGCTTCAGGAGATGAAGGTTGACAGCAAGGAGGTCATTGAGGACTCATGAACGGAAGTAGGTCGACCTTCCTGATTTTTTTTCATACTGTAGTTGGTAAGGGGGGTTGATATTGATCAACAGTCAGCATTAGTAACCACCAGTCTGACTGAGAGAGATGACTATGTTGCAGTTCGTGGCAATACGTGTTTTCTTGCTTTTTGTTTTTTAAAGAACGTCCTAGTTTTGCAGCGGAATGCAAGATTCGGAAATCTGAAAAGTACCCAAATGCGCTGTTTGGTGTTTGGACAGGGACTTGGCGTCGGATTTTATGCAGAAGGATTTTGAAGGGTATCAAGTATCAACCTGTCTAAGATCAAGAGCTTTAAGTGGGCTGACATGGGCTGACTTTCTCACAAAGTTTCTTTGCCTAAAGCACAATGAGGAGACCCAGAAACCAAAAAACTCTCGTCGAGACGAAGCTTTTGGCCAATCCTCATCAAACAGCAAGACACCAGAAATTGGTTTGTCCAGAGCTTTCCAAAAACTGCAAAAATCACCACAGGTGCCCAACTTGCATCTAGGATTTCTTAACTGTAGATCTCTTGGACATTGACCACCAACTTGTGTTCCATCCCAACAGCCCTTCCACCAGTAGGGGAGGCTTTTGAAAGCCGACAATTCTGGGTAGCCAGTGTGAAGCGTGTTTACCAGGAGCTGAAGCTTGGAGGTGGGGAACTGTGGTCCAAAAAGCGCTCTGGAAAGGTTGGGTGGAACACAGCTACCACGAGCATGTTTTGTGGCTGCCTTGTAGATAGAAGTTGTTTATCGACAAGACATCAATTGTGTTGTTTCTATTATACAATATATTTTGTTGAATGTCTACGTATTATACTATATGATTCAATCATTCCCTTCCCTTGTTCTAGCCACTTGAAGAAGCCCATCCAAGGTGATACCCAACCTATGTCGCAATGGTGACCTGAAAATCTATGGTGCACGGTTTGCTGAAGATGGTCCTAATCAATCAATCAACCAACCAACCAACCAATCAATCAATCGATCATCTTTTCTCAAAACATGTCACAAGGTCAAACCTTCCTTCACAGGGTGAACGATTGGGTAATTTCTTGTCTACATGCCAGTTGAGTCACCTGGAAGTTGAACACCTCCGGTCTTCGGACAGGGGCCATGCAATCCTGAATCTGAAATCCACTGGGCTGCAGAACTCTTTAGGACTGAAATCCTGTACAACTGATCACATTGGCCACCTAGAACCACCCCAGGGATGCACTGTTGCACTAAGGCTTCTATCTCTTGAGTCTTGGGGTGAAAAGAACGGTTTCGCCATGTGTAGCCTGTAGAGGGACGGGATGGGGAGGCGGGCGCACCATGAACATGGTGGGCTCCACTTCTCTACAGCTAGACCCTGGGATTTCAACCACCATTGATCTAATAGGCTTTACCGAACAGCCATTGTTTTGCTAAAGATTTTACTAAGGTCTTGGAAGGCTAGGGAAGACCTGAAACCAGTTTTCGTCGTCAAGAGGAGTCAGCTGTTGCCGACTTTGCAGAGATGTTTTGGATGTTGGATCGAGGATTCTTGGGGAATCCACATGAACCTGAGGGAGGTTCGACAACGCCCAACAATGGTAAGCCCCTTCGCACGCCACGTACGCAGTCAGAGCACAAAGAGCTTGACATGCGTGCTTTCTCAGGGTGTGGACAAGGAACTGGGGCCGTGTGTGGAACTACGGCCCCAGTCGGCCCCGTGCGTGGCCCGTGCGGGGCCCGTGTGTTCTGTGGCAGTTCATTTGGACTCTCAAGGTAGAGGAACCACGTAGCAAGTGTGACCCAGATTTGGTATATAGTGTAGTGGTTGGGTAGAGAGAGACCGCCTGGCATTGGCCACAGATAGACAGGCATCACGTGCGTCATTTGCACCGGCGACAATACCACCACCGGAGTCAGTACCTTGGCTGCCTTGGCTGCATACTGACACGTACCTTGAACACGTACATTGTGCATACGTACCTTGTTGCGGTCCCCTCCCCTGGGGTCCTGGGGTCTTTCCAAGGCACTTCTGATAGAACCCTGGGACACCCCGAAAGCATGAGGGGTTTGAAGCTTTCAACCTAAGACTATTTCAGGAAGAATTCACAGTTGGTGTGTGTTGCGCTAGAGTTTTCAGATTTCCTGTGGCAACTACTCACTTGAATGGCCGCTCCCCCAGTTCTTCCCCACTTGAAACAGACAGCGGTGAGACGCATTTGGTTCCAGGAATCTAGTGGACCTACTGTAGCCGAGTCCAAAGGCTGTTCTCTGAATTGAGACCTTTCTGCTCACTATCCTTTCTGAGCCGGTGGGTTCTTTGGAAGATGAAGGAGTCGACATCCATGAGGTGCCTCGATGCCTGAGTGTGTCCGACAACCTTTGTACTCAAAAGTGGACACATCTCATTAACGAACACCACCAGTCACACTCCACTGTAGTAAGTCTCTACTACGTGAGTGGATAGCCTTTAACCGCCAAAGGGCGTTCTTCCCACCTAAACAAGAACGGTTGAACAGTTCGGTCAAACCTGCCTTCAAATCGACACGGCTAGGCAGTCAGATGGATCGTCGACATATCCACAGTTCCCTCTCCGGTGGTGCCTCCTCAGAGTAGATAGGAATCCAGGACCAAGTTGTTTTTTGGCCCATATTATTGGGGAGGGGTCATAATGCATTGTATATCATTAGAACTACTGTATAGTTAATCAACAGTCTATATACATGATAGGAATCCGCATAGTGCCTTTTTTATATTGGTTGGTCAACCATTAGTGAACAACCAATAGGATCCTTAGGATCCCCTGTAGGTATCCAGTGCTTAGGATCCCCCTTGGGATCTAGTCGATCCCCTTCCCAGAAGGTATTGCGACCCTCCTGGTGCCTACAGAAAAGTGTCAAACACATATACCCAATAGGATCCAAGAGGTATAAAGCAAAGTGACCCCCTCCAAAAGTTTCTTGTTCTCAAGCCCTAGGGATCCAGTCGTACCTTCCCAGGTACGGTGATTGGAGACTTTTGGTGTAGGCGCCATGTTCGGGCCCAGTCGTACCGAACCTGAGGTTCGGTGGCAGTGGATCCCTAGGGAAGGCATGTGGAAAAAAGGGTGTAACCTCTTTGGAGTCAACTCAGCACCGGACTCACCGTGACTCCCTCCTGACAACATCCGTTTTCGTCCTTTCGCGTCGACACCGCTTGTCGCAGCCGACGCACTCCGACACCGAGGCATTGGTCGCCAGTGTGGCGTGATCTCCGACTCCACCCGGGCGCGGGAGATGACCGAAGCGAAGCGGCGGATTAAAGGGGGACCCGGGGATCTGGGGTCAAGAAATAAGCCCAAGAGCTGTGACCGGATGGTTGAGTCGTGACAAGGGATATGACACGCATGCAGTTGTGAAGAAGGACACTACAGGTCGGACACCATTTTTGCTGGAGTTGGTCATGCGAGTTCTCTCAAGGAGGTCAAGTCGACCAGGTTTGGACCTGGGTCATCCGACTGGACTTGTAGTATCTTGTAGTAGTAGGATGTTCTACCAGGTGAACTGGCTGTAGCTCACCAGATCTATTTATTTATGTCCAACCAAGTCACCAAGCCAAGTTTTGGGAGATCCAAGGTGTGCAACGCAGAAGTACACATTGCATGACATGCTGTCCCAAAAAACATTGGGGGCTCTGTAGAACGGATCCTGAACCCTGTTTGTTATACTATATATATATATATATGTGGTTATATTATTTGCATGCGTATAACGTAATATATATAGTATATACACTGTTTGACTGTTTGTTATAGTTGTAAGTTATACTAGTTGGATGCATATAACGGACTATATGTATATACAGTTCATACACCAACAGGCATGATACAGTTTGATTGACCGTGAGTCTTCACTTCAAACCCGATCAGGTGCTGGTGAAAGAGTCAACCAGAGTCAGAATCCATTTGGACACAACCAATATACCAGGCATCGATTGAGGCATCGTTTTGTCTAAAGTCCTTACAGTAAAACAACAGGTCAATAGGTGTTGGAATCCCAATACTGTAAATCACGAGCATGACTGAGTCAATCACTTGTTGACCCATTTTGTTGTCCAAAATACATTTCTTTTTTAACAGGAGGAATACTGTCCCGCTCAGTTGTTTGCGCCAGGTCTTCATTGGAGAGTTGGACAGCGCGCATGCGTCTCACGTGCGCTGGCGCGATGCGGAGGATCAGGAGCCATGCAGAGATACGTGCAAATACACGCAGGCCTCTTTTTGTTGAGCACCAGATGTTTTTGAATCCAGAACGGTGTTTCATTCGTGGTCTAGCACAGTATGGATCTACACTCTGAAAGGTAATTACAGGATCTGGAGCCATGCTGATGGAGTACCTTCAATCACCCAGGACACCTCGGTGAAGTACCATGACTGGCACCGTCTCCTCCCGCGAATCGGAAAGTGGTGGATGGCATGAACCCATGTATCAGTTTCACATATTCTCCCTCTATATACTGTATATACTGTAATGCATTGGTTTACAGTGGGCACCATCCACTATCGTCCACTTCCATGTTGGAGTTCCAACATGTCGAATGACACGCCGGTTCCGCCAGCCCGCAGGAGGCCGCCGTTCCTGCTTGGCAGTCCGACCCGCGTGCGGAGCCGGGGGTCTCTGTTCCGAGGTTCGGACGGTGGAGGTTCGGTGGGTAGCGATGCATCGGTGGCGATGAGAGGTGGGTCTCCTTTGGAGGGAAAGTGTTAATATGCAGGCAGACCGCAGACATTATCCAGAAAACGGTTGCCTCAAGTATTGTGACCGACTCCTTGAGTAGTGTGAAAAGGGGATGATTTCAGAAGACAGAAATTCACTCATCACTGGTCGAGGAAGGCGTTGAACCGCCCAATCTAAGGGTGAGGTTTCGAAGACCCAATTCTGCAAGGACTTGCTCGCGGTCAACGATGCTCTCCTGACGTTTTGCTGGTGTTCTGGAAGTACTTCTTGATGGAGAACGGACAAATCCATCTAAGTGGTCCAAATTTTCCTGGGAACAGTGAACGTCAGTGAAACTCTTCCGTTTTCACGCCGTTTCAGCTCCCTAGCTCTCTACGGATCGGACCAGATCTTCCAAAAGAGGGAGACATCTCTGAACGGGTTGCGTCTACCTGGTGTAAAAGGGGTTGTTTAAGGTCGCGGCATCGCGGGTCGCGGTGGATGGGATCCATTGGATGCAGAAGTGTCATGAAAGCAGAAGTGTCATGAAGCATCCAGATGTGGGCTGTCGCTCTGGGACAAACCCGGATCCACAGGCGTTTCACACATGCCCACGTTCATCCACTGATTGTTCTAGAGAACTCTGAAACCTGCTGGTCTTTTTGCAGATGAACACAGACCCTAAAAACCCTCAAGTTGGTAGAGGAGAATGGTTTTACACAGTTCCATTTTTGTTTGAGGCGATAGCTTCTTCTTGCAGCCCAATTCCGGATTTTAGGTACTTCTTTGTACCTGGGAAGCTCCAAACGGGTTAGTGGATGACCTGAACGACCTTCTTTGGGGATGGGTTTCCCCACAACTGATGGAACAGATGGAAAGAGGTTGCAGTCAGCTAATCTCACTGACTCCAATGATAGGTCTCCGGTCTCTGGGACAAAAAAGCAGTACACTCGTGGAAGTGGAGCACCACTTTTGTAGAGGAAAATGGTCACTTCAAGGGACGTTGGCCCTCCACGTTGGCCCATGATTCTTTCAGGGTGTGGAGGTTAATTAATATGTATATACCATGATATACCTAGAACCCATTTGACCTTTGTTTTGATAGGAAAACCCATGTTTTGGCTCCAAAACAATCCAAAACAGGAGTCAATCAGGTTCTAGGGAATTATATTACTTATGTAACTGCTTCACCTCATCCTTTTTACGCCGAAACGTCTCGGTAGTCGGGAAAAGCAGCGCAATGAATCCATGCTGCGCAATGACTCGTTGCATTGGCATCGGCTCGCTGAGGCTTGCGCTGAGCCAGCCTGCCTTTCGATGGTCAGCCTCCAAGTGATGAATACTGGTAGCATTGGACGTAATTACTGGGTGTTTTTGGAGTTAGCGGTGTTTCTTGGTGTTGTATTCCACAAGCTCTAGTCCAAAATGCTTGAAGTACGATTACGATGCAGCCTGGTCTTCACAAGTTTATCCCCTATCCAACAAAAATGGAAGTGGATGATGACCCCTCGACTATCCCCTGCAAACCACAGCCTACCCAGGAAAAGTGAATAACCTGAAAAACCATTTTTGCGGAATTGGTTTCCCCACTCAACAAGAACAGGCGATCAACATGTGAACCGGTATTTTCCTGTCTCCGGCACCGGGAGTGGGACAGTGATCGTTGTTTTGTCGTCATATGGTGGTGAGGTTTCATCTGACATCTAAAAAACATGCGAATAGAGACGACAGGTTTTCTATCTATTATGGGCCTTATTGGGTGTGTATTGAAATAGGTAGACCTCCCAGTTTGACCCCTGGAAGACGGACAATAGACTAAAACCAGTGCCGAAAACATCTAAAAAACTCATTGGGCCAGGGTGTCTCCCGGTCTCCCTATTAAAATACACACCTCGGTTTGTCATACGTGCTTGTATCTGAAAACCGGCGGATTTAAAGTTTCATATCACGCTTGCAACATGGAGGCTTCGCCAGAATTCCCACCAAGCGCTGCGGAACTGGAGGACATCACAATGCGGAACTGCAAAAAAACTGGCAGTGCAAGATGACTTTGTCAGAGTTCCTCGTCTGGTGCATCCGGACCTTTGCTTTGGCCGTTCGCATGTGCTTCGGCCCCCTCCGGGCAGACCAGACCCCTCTCTCTCGGTGCAGAGACAGGGGGTTCGGTGCTGCTGTGCTGTGACGGTCGTGGGCGGTGCAAGCGAAAGCAGGGGCCAATGGAGCCGAAAGAAGATGCGAAAGTTCGACCTCGATGGGTTCCAACACATGCCGCCACGTGTCACGTCGCACCGTGTGTGTATTGGCGGTATTGGCGCAGGAGAGAAAAGCCCAGGTGGTATTTGGCCATGAAAGGAAGCCTGAAAGGAAGAAGGAAGCGCGTGTTCGTTGCCCCGACCAGCCATGTATGGTATTTACCTACATTGGGATGGTTTGAGGGGTCAATGTGGGCAAATATTCCAGTCCCATGGATGGTTTGGTGGAAGGATCTCTGGACATGGTCTTGCGAGTCAAGGGCAGCTGCTTTTGGCCGTTGCTGCTTTTGATGCGGGGCCCGATGCGGGCAGATGTTCTCAGTACATTTGGCCTCCGTTGTCCAAATTGAGGGCTTGGACACTGTCCTACCCACCATGAAGAAAAGATAACCTTCAACCTTTCTTGGGGACGGGTTGTCCCACTATACAGAAAAAAGATGAAAAAGGTTAACGGTTAACCTCTATAGTACATGGTCCCCGACGGTTTCTATCTATTTATTTGGGCAAGCAGTCACAAAGGGGTGCCGAACTTAGAGGATATGCCCAGAACATCCACTCACAGGATGGGACTCAAAACCATCCCGTCTTGTGACTCCTGGGGGTTCCACCGGTGAAGAGTCCGGATTTCGTAGCATTTTTCGACGAGGTGGACACTGGCATGTGCGACTGAGACTTCCTAGGTCGGGTCGACTGGGCAGGTGACAAGCGATCAATTAGCCCGGTGGATTTGCATACCCTTTGAGAAGGTGATCGGAGACACTTTATGTAGGCTTTGAAGGTCCAGTCGTACCTTCTGAGAAGGTCTTTGGATCCCTAGGATAGCGCTGATGAACACAATTTTCCACAATGTTGAGATCAACATTCTTGGTTTCTCAACCATTCACCTTTACACTCAGTCGGGGAAATTGACCTCAGACAGTCTCACACCAGCTGAACACTGCGTCCAACGCTATAAGGATGTGTTTCTTTTCTTCGGTCGACTGCATCGGATTGCGAGGGTCCTCGAACCTCCTTTGTGCGACCTTTGCGCGAACTGCTGCTGAATCCTCCTCCAACACACCGCTGCAGGTTGGTTCGTGAGGATCCTGAGGAGCTGAAGAAGATGTTGCCATCAGTGAAGGCCTGACGGTGGAGACCATCACATGTCCTGAAGTACGTGAAGTCTACAAACAGAGATGCACCGGATGCTTGCGGATCGACCGCATGGACATGTACAAAGCTATATAATATATGTGATTGATCAACGTGGACAAAGGGGAAGTAGGAGTTGCTTTCATGCGACGCATACACACTCACCCACCGCTTATTCTTGTGGCTGAGAAAGGCCGCTGTGCTTTCGCATTTCGACCTGGCTTAGAGTTGTTTCTTTACCAGGAAAGGGTACCCTCTCATAGCCCTATAACATAAGCAAACTGACAACGCCTTAGGCACTCAAGACGAGGACTCCCGAGGCAAACCATGTCACAAGATGTCACACGTGGGTTCTGACGCGTCAAAATGTGGCAGGGGTCTGGTAGATGTTACTTGTAGGACGTGTTCAGGAAAACTCACCTGCGAAGAGAGCTTCTTGGAGGGGATCAGCCAGGAATGGTATCCACAGCAGGAAGTGTGTGGGGAAGATGATGCGGAGATTAAAGCAAATTATCAGATTGAATCAGTTCATCTCAACAACTTCCCTCCCTTTTTCCAGTGTTCTGGGCTTCAACGAGTGCGTTGATCCCTCGACCCGGTCACTCCGACCCGGAAACTCACCGGAGCGACGCGGCGACGGCGGCGACGGGTAGGCAGGCTAGATGCGTTGAAACCACACAGAAAAGGGTAGGCACCGCATAGGAATGGTATTGGGCACCCGGACTTGGAGTAGGCGCCGCAAGAGGAGAGCCGAACGCGTCAGGTTTATTTTTCTGTGTGTTTAACGGCTGACCAGCCGGACGACGGCTGCGCCACGGCAGGTGTTTGGAAGAATGAAGCCAGATGCGACTCGGAGCAGGATGGAAGCTGCCAGGAGTTTGGATTCCGGTTGTCAGAAGCCGAAAGGGAATTCCAGGGGAGGAAGCGTGCGGATCACTGGAAAATCCACATACAGCTGTGTCTGTGTGTGTGACTTGTTTCCCAGCCTTAGTGCATAATATGACTTATACTTCTTTTCGTTTGACACGTGTCCATCATTCAGTAATTCATTCTGTCTCGGCACTTCAGGCACTGTGGAAACAAGACAAAACTGATGCTGTGCGAACGACGATGCAAACCCATCACCATCCCCTTGAGTCCTCCTTTTGCCACGCCTGCGACGTCGCTCCATCCAACCTGAAGAGGGGGCGCGCCGTAGACGGGCCGACAGCACCTCCTGTGGCCCTGGGCCGACGGCCAGTGGTCGTTGTCCGATATGACCATGTTTGCTTTTGTCTTCTGTTTGCAGCTTGATAGTGTAGCTTTCACGCTTCTCCAAGGACAAGATCAAAGTCATCAATTTGTGGCAAGATTATGGCGAGGATGGAGTCGGAGCCTGAGTCCCTACAAATCCACACGGTTTTGAGGTTCGATGGTGGATGAGTCAGGTGGTTGACTGAAGGGTCAGTTCCTACTTTCATGTAGCTGGATCCACAATGAAAGCTCTTGATGAATAAAGCCCCGCCCGACATGGATTGGAACACCTCTTCACATGGTTATTCAATGTCATTAATCAATGAGTCTATATCATTCTATATTAAGGAGTGTGAGCCTTGAAACATAGAAAGAACTGGACCAAACACATGAACTGGTGTGGAGGACCAGCTGCGGCCGCTGCAGTAACCCAACTAGGAAGGTTCTCCACACCCCACTTGGTGTAGTGAGTGTGAGCATTTACTGAAATCCAGTTCCTATAGCGTCTTGACATAGACCCACAACCTGGGGAGTTTTGGGCTTCTTCCCAACAGGGAGTGGTTCTCTTTCACGGAGGTTTAGGATGTGCTGCGCATGGGGCAGCATGGGGAGAACGTCATACAAGTGACACCATTTGGCAGTCCATTCGGACGCCGTCGGGAGCCAAAACTGGGCGATCTGCCCGAGGATCCATCCTACTGTCCGCATGTGTTTTCAGACCCTGAAGATAGATCCTCAACATATTAGACCCTGCACACATAGAACCTGAATAGAACATCCCCAAAACTGCACATAGAAAACACACCCTGAATCCTCCTCCACTTTCAATCCAGAGAACTCCACCCAACCTGACCTCCCTCCGCTCCAGACCGTGACGGGCATGACGGGCGACGGCGGCAACGATTGCGGCGCGCTCCGCACGGCACACGCGGGGTTGGCGCTCAGTGAGGCGGAGGCCTCGATGGAGTCTCGGCGGTGAGTAGATCGAAATACCCGTGGTCGGCGGATTACTAAGTCGTTCGGTCGCAAGTGTTGTGTCCTGATCGGTCGCAAGTCTGAATACAGGTGATTCATGGTTATTTTATCCAAGGTTTTCTGACTCCAGGTCCCAACAGATTCCAAAATGTACATACCAGGAGTCACAAAGGGGTGTGTGTTTGTCTCTAAGTGAGTGGAAAACGGGCACCCCTATCCTCCAATAGGTACCCCTTTGGAGCTACTGGTACCACATGATGTTGATCAATGTATTCATCTGGAGTTTTCAGGCTGGCTGACATTTGAGGATGGAACGAAATCGGTTTGGGGTGGCTGCGCCTACTTTCTTCCGCCTGGAAGGCCACATTCCATGACAGGTGCAAGAGGTTTCTACAACCCGTAGATGTTGTCCATTACTCATGTCTACCTGGAGTCTCCAAGTAGCTCATAAAATTTGGGCCCAAAGTTAGACAAGAATTTGGCCCACTACCGCACTACGGAAGCATCGTTAGCTATTCTTTTCCACCCAATCAAAATTAGAGGGTTCAATAGGTAGGCTTCTGTGATGCCATGGCTTTAGTTTGGTGGCTCCAGGTCCCTGATCTGAACAAAGACCATGGAGTCTGGGGACCTTCTTTTGTGGATTGGTCAGTCTCTGCCAGCTCAACTGGGGTTGGTTAAGCCAGTGAGTTTGGGTGTCAACTGGGGTTGGTTAAGCCAGTAACTTTTGGTGTCAACTGGGGTTGGTTAAGTCAGTCAGTTTGCATCATGGCAAATACGTCCGGTCTGGCAAATGCAAGGCCTGCTGGACGGCAAGGGCTCCGGCCACGATGGAGCGAGTGCAGGGTATGATTCGAGCGCACGAAGACGCCTTGAGGAGGCATGACAACCAAGCCACCATCGCCATCGCCACCGGAAAAGCACCACCAGCAGTTCCGCCTCACTTAGACCTCTCTGCTGCTTTCTAGGCCAGGAGCCGGAGCAGAGGCGCAAGAGGGAACTCGAGTAAGACTTCAGAGAAGCCTGCTGAAGTGATGAAGTGAGTTCTCGAATTCATGACTCTCATTACTGTAGTGGAAAAACGCTAGAAACATCTGTATTTTTGAACATATGTTGAGCATTTTCTAGCCTAAAGCTATCTGCGTTGAAAAAAAAACATGTGTTTCAGCGCTTTCCACGACAATGTCCTGCTATTTGAAGAAGCCATACAAAGGCTCAGGTCGTGGAAATGTCGGCCGCAAACCGACGTGCCATCACCAGGACGTATGTCACAGGCCGTTTGGGTTCCGGCTGCAAACGCCGATCAACTTCTCGGCCGCCTGAGTGAGAGGATGCAGCGTGAAAGCGTGGAAGGCCCTATGCTCGAAGCGCGTCAGAGCTGCTGGGGAAGGCGCTTGGAGGGTGTCCGCCCTTGGATACGAGGTCCTTGACTCGCGGTTTCTGTGAGGAAAATGCAGCAGGAAGGGTGCAGTACTGAACGCAAGCGTTCGGCGCTTTCGATCGCCTTTTGGAGCTGACGGTGCATGGTACCTGCCTCCTCTTATGCGCTCCCCCTGCTGTCGTCGGGGTCGGCAGATAACTATATTATAGACTATATTCATCAATTTGGGCATTGGGATCATTGGGGTAGGATTTGTGCACATACCTTTCTGGGCGACTTAGTTCAGTGGCACTCCACGAACTCGTGGCCACGTTCGATGTTGGAAGCTTGGAACATCTTCCTCTGACTCCTTCATAGATCCATCTACCAGCACGCTCACTGCCAGGTCACCACTGGCGACTTTTAAGTCTCCAAAGGCCACCATTTCGGAGACCTGTTTATCGTCGGGTGCTAGTACCGAAGTTTTGGGTCACTTAAACCCATCCCCCCCTATAACCTCGCGGACGGACCGTGTTAGTTCGTGTAGATCGAACAACCACGAGGGACCGGAGCGGGTCCCGTCGCTTTCACCGGAGCCGGGACCCGAGGTCTCCCCCTTCAGCAGCAGCAAGGGCCTGGCCGAAGAAGGCCACGTGGCGCAGAGCGCGCGGAGCTGTGAAGAGCGTGGAAGGTGAAGGTTTTCTGTTGTTTTCTTCGGGTGAATGACTGGAAAAGGTAGAGTTAAAATGAGGTAAAGGTAAAGAGTGAGTTTTTTTTTCCAGCTTGTGCCACCAGTAAACTTGCTGAACATGTTGTAAGGGGACATCAAAGTTCATGGGTCAGTCATTGTATGTATTTCCATGAGGGCCCCCTTGTGTATTGTGGCGTGTTTGACCTAGTTTAGGAAGTTTAAGACAACCCATTTCACTTCGAAAGTTCAACAATGCGTGTTCTTTTTTTGCTTTTCTACTTGGACGAGCCAGACACTGTCCACAGAGCACATGCATGTTCACGTCCTAGCCAGATCGAGTTCTGAACATAGCCCAGCGGATGTAAATCAATCGGGCAGACTACTCCGGTGATGAAGATCATACAGGAACAAGTGGTTTGCACGCGTAGTATTTGTGCGACACCCCATGGAACTACTATATATATATATAATATGTATACTCTATTCATAGATTGACCATGATTGACCCCTCAAACCAACCCAACCTACAGGTAAATATTTGTAAATAGATACCATACATGTAAATAATTGTAAATAGATACCATACATGGAGTGTTTGGGAAGAAAAAACCTCCCACATCTGGGTGCCTTCATCATCACCTCTTCGCCGAGGCTTCATCAGCCTCTCTGCGGTGGCGGAGCTCGTCAAGGAGGGTCGTTGTTGCCTGGCCGCTCGTTCATGGTTGGAGTTGGGTGTGGGTCAAAACCTGAACCTCCAAAACCCTCCGTAGCGAGTTAGCCTCACGAAGAAGGCGGGCAAACCTGCCAGAGGAGGACTTCTGCAGTTCCTCAATGGTCAAGCAGAACATTCGGTGCTTGAAGTTCGACCCCGGCTTCATCCAAAGCGAGAAGAAAGCTCACAAGGAGGGAAGCACTGCTGTACGGCAGATGCAGGAAGCACTTTGCCCATACTCCAGCACCTGTCATGTCACTGCCACCGCAATGGGTCTCGTCCTGAAAGCTCGCAAAACACTGAGACTCAGCCACCTGTGGGATACTACCCTGCTCAGAAGGAACTAGTGGAAGCCCTGAAGATGAAGGAGCAGGTGCGGTTGGTGGACAACAAAGGCCTAGTCAGGGAAGCCAGACAATTTTTCTGGTGAACCTGACAAATTCTTGCCCTGGAAGATCAAGACGTCATCCCACTTAGGAAGCCTCCGAAAGGCTTTGAGAAATGTGCTGACGTGGGCTGAAAGAGTGCGACGGACCAATCACGAAAGAACACGTCGATAAGGCAACGAAGGCATTTGGGTCTGCAGCTGACGACTTGGAACGGATTGACAGCATTGATGACTTGAGCAAGGAGCTCAGGGATGCGTTGCTGATGCTGACGGAACGGGAGCCGTTCGTCCTGAGTGTGGCGGCATCGCGGCATTGGGCGCATGACTCGACGGCACGACCCGAGTACTGGGAGACAACGGGCTCTCAATGCTGATGCCGAACCCAACAAACGTATCACTAAGATGATTTGGAAGTATTGTCATCAGTTTGTTGAAGCCGAAGCCACACCACCTGGATCCACATGAGCAGCGGTCAAACACCTATAGCCTATAGCAATATGTTTGTTGAAAGGTGGTATGGAAAATGGTTTGGATGTTGATTGTAAGTATATATTGGTTTAGTAGCGGGCCCCCAGCAGAATCATGCAAACCATCAAGGCAGCGCTAGATTGGCGCTAGGTTCGCGGTTGATTTTTTACTTGTCGTATAGAATCAACATGATTCATTTGGTTTAATTCATGAAATCCTGCGCATCTTGCGGGGGAATGCTGCAACTGGGTAGTAGTATACAAAGTATACTATACTGGGGAAAATACAAAAGTGACCTTTGTGATGTGTGTTGCTGTTACCTCAAACCGGAAAAAGATCTGAGTTTTGTGCGCTAGACCCGCGCCAACATTTGCGCTAGGTTTGCGCTAGCACAGTTCTCAAATGTGATCAGATGTACATTTGTCCTGGAAGCAGATCTTCGCCATTACTACTTGGAATGCTTGTGCCCATGTCTCTTTTCCTATCAAATTCCTCACAGCATGGCTAGCTTAGACAACAAAAGGTCATCAAAGAGTTAACAAAGGAGAAAGGCCATCGCGCTAGCTACGTTTGCAGCATTCTGCACCTCTGATTGAAATACTCCACATTTCCATACATCCCAGATACCCTCTCTGAAGTGTATTGAACAAGAAGCGGCCCCCCATCAGAATGACTTTTACAGCCGCTTTCGGGAAAAGACATTGTGACCACCAACCACATTGGTACGGTGTGAGGGGGGATCGACAAAAGTTTTTGCTTGGTACTCGCAGTTGACTAGTATGCTAGTGTAGTTTTTGCGAAGATGTCCAGTTGGCCTCTTCGTCTTGAATTGATTGTCTACACTCAAGGAATCAAAACAAGGAATGCTTCCTCCTGGGTGAAGAAGAACTTTTGAGGAAGATTTGTGATTTTCTTCTCTCGGTGTATGCTCTATCTCACGATTCACATCGAGATGTGACAAGATCAGATCTCTCCTTTTGCCTACCCCATCAGTGGATAACTGAAAAACCTTTTTATGGGATTGGTTTCCCCACCAAGGTGGACAGTTCCAAGGAAACTGAGGGAGACAGAAATAGACTGCAACCTGAAGAGCAAAAAGGACTGAATTTGCTTTCTCCAGCATCCTTGGCCGAAAACTGGTCTCAACCCCTCGGAAGACATCGATCGATCTTTTCGCACTCGCTACTCACGGTGGCCCCCGCCGCATCGAATGCCATTGCGTCCAATGTGAAAAGGCCACCAACATGGCCACCTTCATGTACTTCATGATCTACAACTTGACCCTGACGACCTCCAAAATGGCCGCCGTCGCATGGCTGGACTCCACCTATGCCGAGTGGCAGCTTCTCGCACAGATTCAAGTTGTTTGGGGTCTGAAGCTGTGGTGTCGAAGAAAATTGGTGGATTCCTGTGATATGATGCTGATGGGAATTAGTCACTTCCCAGATTCAGGATCAATGCATTCCACTGAAGTCGCTACTCACGAGTCAATTGCGATCAGCTAAATCATCTAGTGAGTAGATTTTACGATTATTGTGAACACCCCAGAGATCTCATGGAAAGATTGTCCAGAAAGGAATAACCTTTGGTTCCCCGGTCATGAAGGATGTTCTCTGTCAGGGAGTTTCTCTTCAATGGAGGCAACACTTACTCGTACCATGGATTGATCATAGAATACGTCCAATCCTCATGTCCTTTCTTGGACGATGGACGAAACCAAACGAAACCAGTTGTTTGTTTTCATATTTTTCCTGAGTTTCGCCAGGTGCTGTGTATCCTCCAGTGTCTTGCCGGCCATTTTCAGGTTCATGCTCACCGATGTGGCCTTGGCCATGGTCATGGTCTCGTCACCCGTTACAAGACGGGCGGGTGATTCTTCGCCGGATGGGGAATGATTTGCTGTGGGGACAATTATAAAGACAAGAAGCTACTAGGGGCTCCTGGCCGTACTACTAGGAACAAGAAGCTACTAGGAACAAGGACGCTTGATTTGCTGTGGGGACGAACATGCACCAATCCGGAGCCGAACAATGTTGCGTTGCTTCCGAAGTGACAGAGAGGGCTCTAAGCCGAAGGTAATGAACTGAGATGGATGTTTAATATTGTTTAATGATGTTTGTTTTTTGTTTTAATTATGACATGATGTTTTGCTTAGTGATTGTTATGTTTGATTATTCTTGTAATATAATATATATTATATTCATATATCTTCTTTGGGTGCATTTTTGTTCGCGGTTCCTTAAGCAGATCCAGGTCTTTGCTGAGATATGATTCTGGGGTTTGAGAGATTACATAGAAAGTCAGAAAGTCACATAAGTTGCATGGGAAGTAGCTGGCTCTAGTGGATGGGCACTTCTTCCAGAACCTTAGAACACTCAGAATATTTGGGCCCTCCACGGCAAGGGTCAGACACCACCACAGGGGTCCGGACCCTCAAAGCCCTTTCCAATTGAGGGCCCAGATTCTTAGGGAAATGAGCAAACATTGACACTCTATGGATCCACGGCCACCCTCTTTATGAATAAGGTGATGGTGTTCGATACTTTGATGTAGGCGGTCTAGGTTGAGTCCGAAATACATCCGAAATATACTCCCAAAACTAACATGGACCCTCAAAATGGTCCCCTGGAGGATTGGAAAATCCTCTACCAACCAGTGGTTCTGGGGTTCCATGCGGGTCTCTTAGTACGGGGAGTACCCTGTCTTCGAAGGTCTTTGGATCAGACCTGCGACCTTTTGGACCCTTTCGGAACACGACAAGGGCGGGCTCACACATCGAACGCACCTGCAGCGTGTACTCCAAAACAGTACAAATCGTACGGTCGTACCTGTTTGAATAGGATCATGTCCGATACCAGTACCCATTTGGAAAAGACAGGTACACTCTCACTCACTTAACATGGAAGTGGAACAAACAGGGTGGAAGCTCCACTTCCATGTGATGTGTTCGTCGGAGTGTCGGACCCTTTATAACCTGTACTCAACCAAACCGAAGAGGGAGGCGCATGACTCATTAAATCATACTTCACGTATGACCATGTTTCCACTCTCTCCACCCCGGTCCCACCGTTCGCGACCCGACGACCGACCGCACGACGCCCCGGGAGGTTCATGATCCGCTGCCGCCCCGAGAAGACCCTGGCGCCGCGCTCGCCCAGCGCCTCCCTCTTCGGCACGGGGACCACCGTGACGATCCTGAGCGTGGCTGGAAAAGACGGGAGGGGGCACGGTTGGGGCATGGGAGTGATGAGGTAAGACTCGGAGAGGCCAGAAATGCTAATGAGTATAGAGACTAGAGATAAGTGTATATTATATATATATGCTACCCCACCCCAAAGATCCACCATTTTGGCCTGTTGCATGCATGTCTGAGTGATATTTTCAGATATCAGATGATGTTTGTAGATGTCAGATGGTTGATAGGCTCACCGCTGCATTTACTATGCTTCTTGTTCATTGTGTCCTTATCACAGACTGCCAAACCAAAACCAAAACTCATTGCTTGTCGGTCTCCAGTTGCCTATGCCTTCTTCAAAGTTCAATATTCCAGTCTGATAGGTTTTTTATGAAATGGTTTGGTTTGCCCATCACTCTAGTTAAATCATCTTCATGGATCGTGAAGGCATCACTCTTCACTGAATGTAGACCTTGAAATCATGTTCTACCAGTTTATTACATGCTTCATACATTGAAAACATTAGATATTGAAGTAGCAACTCTTTTATATATCTATATCTAAACCCATTGACTAATTTATTTCTATTGGTGGTGTTTGAGATGTAGTAGGTATTGCCCATGCTCGCTTCTTCTTATTTTTCTATTTCTTGTTGTATGGCATAAATCCTTCCTCCAAACTGCCGCTGGTTATGGCATGCCTCCTGTTGTATGGCATAAATCCATGGCATGCCTTCCTCAAAGTGTTAAAGCAGTAACTCTTTTGTGCGGTGTTGTGTTATTTTTCTAGCGTTCCAAAGGTGATGTTTTCTGTTTTTTGTCATGTTTAATAAGATCGGCTTCTCATGGTTCATTAACAATCTGGTCATAACTGACCTTATATGAACGAATGAAGGAGTTTTATAACAAATGATGTGTATTTCATTATTTGTTTCCAATAGTTTTCTCAAATAACTGTCCATATATTAAGTTATATATACCTCTTATTGAAAAATATAACATTTGATGCCTTCTCTTCCACCATATACAATGTTAAACTAGATAATTTGCTAATGTCAACGTCATCACCGCAATGTTTCCAACTATCAAACTCATTTAAAAGCCGTATATACTAGTATGAATTTAATCTGTGTAAATGCCCATGTAAAGGGTTTAGTCCTGTCAATCTCTATCAGTTTTGTTGTATCAATGTTCTTACCAACATAACCTGATGAGACTATAGTCCTACATTCATCCAATATTGCCACATAATTCATGTCATATTTGTATGTATTTGTGTCATGTCTTATTTCATGATGACTCTTGAAATGCTGACTGCACGTTGGTTTCAGCAAAGTACGCGTACAAACGCACTTGTACACGTACATTGCTCAAACCAAGAAACCGAGAACCAAGATTGCACACAACTCTTGTCAGGAATCTTGGTTTGATGCAGCCAATGTACATTACGCAAGTTGGATGACCTGGGTCTCAAACGACACACCCCAAACCAAGATTCATTTTCATAGGTCTGTGCAATCTTGGTTCTTGGTTTCTTTCTTTGAGAACTTGTACGCGTACTTTGCTGAACCAACGTGCAGTCAGCAATTCAAGAGTCATCATGCAAAAAGTAAGACGTGACACAAATACACTTATATCACGAAAGCCAGCCGGTAGGGTAGGCTGAGGTAGGTCAGCGAACGAAGTGAGTAGGGGGTGTGGGGGGTGGTCGCGTGGTGGCCACTTTTGGAGAGGTGAACCCGTGCCTGACCAAATGGTTGTTGCTTCAGTTTCATGAGTCCTCTCCTGACCGCGGATTGAACGGGATCGAGATCACGTGCCGGCGAGAAGGAAACAGGTCTTTGGTCGGTCTTCTGGAGACTGAGTCCAATGTGAATTCCATCTGTATCTAGAAGTTAAGATGAACAAACACCAACCAGCTCGAAACTTGTTGGCATTGTGCACGACTTACTTTTTAGCCACGGTGTATCAGAGGATTTGCCATATGTGCTCCTAACTTGTCGCGCAGTATGTTGTGACGACCTGAATGTTTTCTTTGATTCTGATATAGGTTTGACATGGACCCAGCTAAGTTGTTTGATCACCTTCGAGAATTGGCTATTGCCTGTGGTGCTCTGGCACCGCGACAGAATGCCAATGTGCAAGCAGAAGCTGCAGCTGCTCGACCTCCAATGGCATACTACTTCAATGGTCGGAAGGTTTGCCGAGAAGCGTGGGTCAGCCTACACTGCATTGGGAAGGGACGTTTCCAACGGATCTTTGAAGCTGTCATGAAAGGTCAACTCTCAGCTCCTACTGATACAAGATATCTCAAGAGGGGTAGCCAGAAGAACGTGTCTGCAAAATGGGGAGAAGTGCATGGATATCTCCTTGAGCTGTACGAATGCCAGGCAGAAACTTTTCCCGACGACGCAGACTCTGATGGCTGCGATGATGATTTGAGCTACGATGAGAACGCTGCTACACCAGTCATACATGTCACAAGACCTGACGGGCATCATCAGCATCATGAGGGGATCAGGAGGTTATGTAAACTGTTTTCACTAGGGGTGGGAGTTCACGTCGATGAGAGGGAAGGGAAGACCAGGGGAGGTGAAAAGCGCATACTTCAGAGCAGGACAGAGATTGCAGTTGCGGGCAAGCGTTGGAGGCGAAAGGATTTGAGTTGCTTAGGGGTGCCCTTTTTTGTCTGTGGCAAGGTCTAGTTGGTGGACTCAATAGGGCACCCCATATGGGGAGTATGTAAGCACGAAAGCCAGCCTCACTTGAAGCATAGATCAGCACACCATTCGGAATACCAGAAATAAGAGGAAGCACCCGCATAAATTGTTACAAACAAACACGGGTTTTTAGCGACCTGGGGGCCTATACTTACGCCGGCAAACGCGCCTCACTTCCTTAGGGGTGCCCTTTTTCACCTCCAAATCGCCAAGAACCAGGACGAAAAAGAACACCCCCCCCAACCTATGTCTTCTACTTTCCTTTTCTACTCCCTATCAGTGTGGCTGTGATGTCAACTTCACCCCATCAAATTCATCTTTGCTCCAAGTTACCCCACCACTTCCTCTTGCACGCCAAGTCCTTGCCCAGGCCTGCCCTGAGGGCACCCCCTAAGCCAGAGTTAAACCGTGGTCGAAGTGTGTGAGTGTTGGTCTTTAGGTAGCGCACGTGGTATTAGGATTGAGGCTGAAAAGAATGCAAAGGAGGAGGAAGACCGAAAGAAAGAAGAAGAGAAGAAAGCAGAGGCTTTGAGGATGGAGGCTGAAAGGAAGGCAAAGGAGGAGGAAGACAGAAAGAAAGAAGAAGAGAAGAAAGCAAAGGCCTTGAGGGTTGAGGCTGAAAAGAAGGCAAAGGAGGAAGACCGAAAGAAGGAAGA